ATATGTTTATGTGTATAGGACATCCTTAAGCATCTTTTGTAATGCTGGACATGGGGTGACAATTTTTTTCAATTTCTGTTTGATGTGGAAGGTTTTTATTTCACCTTTATTCATAAGTGAGAACTTTGCAGGGGACAATATTCCAGTTGACAGTTATTTTCTTATGACTTAGAATATATCTCACCATTATCTCCTAGCCTGTAGAGTTTCTGATGAAACATCTGCTGTGAGTCTAATTGGAGATCACCTGAAAGTAGTCTGCAATTCTTTTGTGCACATTTTAGAATCTTTTCTTTATGTTTTACTGTGGAGAGTTTGACTACAATTTGTCATGCTGAAGATATTTTCTGGTCATGTCTATTAGTAGTTCTATATGCTTTCTGTACTTGGAAGTTCCTTTCTGTCTCCAAATTAGGGAAGTTTTCTGTGATGATTTCATTAAAAATGCTTTAAATCTATTCTCTCTTTCCATGCCTTCAGGAATGCCTAAGACCCATATGTTGATTCATTTCAATGTATCTCATAATTCCCCAACACTGCTTTTTAGTTTTCTTATTTCTTCTTCTAATTTTTGATCTGACTGTAAAATATCCAGAGATTTGTCTTCTAATTTGGATATTATTTCTCCTGCCTCACTGAATCTCTTCTTAAGGTTTTCCACCATACCTCAGAAACCTCATCTATAAAATGGGGTTAATAATACACCTGGTCTTCAAAACAATTCATGTAAAACATTTGGAATGTTAAGTAGTCAACAGCTTTGTTTCTAATTACCATGTATTCCCCATTTTCCTAAATTAGAATAATTATTTGGAATTTCAACTAACCACTGTTGTACATATCAGCATGTATATACATGTGTGCGTTATGCTAAAGAAAGCCCATTCTGCTCAATCTTAGTTTTTCTAAATTTAATTCTTTCCATAATAATTTTGGTCACACTTAAGCATATCTTGCCATTTTTTAAACTGTTGCAGTGGATGATGTGCATTTCCTATGGTAAAACTTCTAGGGACTTGTAGCGTTTATCTACTGAACTGAGGACAGAGTGCTTGGTCCTGGGCATTTTAATACGGTAGAACTTAATGTTTGCCTATTGAAAGTCATATGCAATTCCAGGAATAGGAAATGACAAATGACAATCTTTTTTCTAACTTTTATTTAATAAATATAAATTTCCAAAGTACAACTTTCGGACTATAGTGGCTCCCCCCTCCCCATGACCTCTCTCCCACCCACAACAAACCCATCTCCTACTCCTTCTCCCATCCCATTCATATCAAGATTCATTTTCAATTATCTTTATATACAGAAGATCAATATAGTATATACTAAGAAAAGATTTCAACAGTTTGCACCCACACAGAAACACAAAGTATAAAGTACTGTTTGAGTACTAGTTATACCATTAATTCACATAGTACAACATATTAAGGACAGAGATCCTACATGAGGAGTAAGTGCAAAGTGACTTCTGTTGTTGATTTAACAATTGACACTCTTATTTATGATGTCAGTAATCACCCAAGGCTCTTGTCATGAGCTGCCAAGGCTATGGAAGCCTCTTGAGTTCACAAACTCTGACCTTATTTAGACAAGCCCATAGTCAAAGTGGAAGTTCTCTCCTCCCTTCAGAGAAAGGTATCTCCTTCTTTGATGGCCTGTTCTTTCTGCTAGGTTCTCAAGCACAGAGATCTTTCATTTAGGTCATTTTGTTTTTTTTTTTTTTTTGCAAGAGTGTCTTGGCTTTCATTCCTGAAATGCTCTCATGGGCTTTTTAGCCAGATCTGAATGCCTTAAGGGCTGATTCTGAGGCCAGAGTGCTGTTTAGGACAGCCGCCATTCTACGAGTCTGCTGTGTATCCCACTTCCCACGTTGGGACAAATGGCAATCCTTAGCTGGCATTGTTCGCACACTGTTTTTTACACAGCATCCCTTCTGAACATCTTCACCCAGTACTGTGTTGCCATGGACTGTAGGAGAGAGAGAGAGAGAGAGAGAGAGAGAGAGCAAAATTAATGGGGAAAGAAATACATTTGCCATTGAAAAAGTAGTTCCCATATAGTATTCGAGAGCTTATTACCTTCTTTTTGAAAAAGATTATATCTGTGAGCAGTGTGGTAGAGGGTGAAGTTAAGAACCCTCAGCTCTGCTGTTTTGTATATTTTTGTTCTCCTGGGGAGGAAGTATGAGAAAGTGGTTCAGAGTCCATAAGTTCGATCTGTAGTAAGAGCGGAGAGCGGACCCCAGAGCATCTTGAGCAGCCCCACTGCCACCACCAGCCTCGGTTCTGTCATACCTGGGGAGGAGCTGCAACTGCCGTGGCTGGCCCCAGTCACCATCAATGCAACCCAAAGCAGCAAGGCTGACACTCAATAGCTGTCTGCCGCCCCCAACCTCAGCTTCACCTAAGCTCCACACCATGGGCAGCAGTGTAGGGAGCTGGGGCCTGGGGACCGGGGCTGCTTCAATCAGCAGTGCCTGCTGGTGGGGACAAGGAAATTGTTGCAGGGAAGGTTTGGGGACCAGTAATATTATTCACTGTAAGAACCGACTATAGTTTCAACAGGAATGACACCAAGGAAGACCTATTTGTACACCAGACTGCCATAAAGAGGAATAACCCCAAGAAGTCTCTTTGCTGTGTAGAAGATGGGGAGACTGGACTTTGATTTGTTGAGGTAGAAAAGGGTATGGAGGCAGTCAGTGTTATAGGTCCTGCTGGTGCTCCAGTACAAGGCAGTGAATATGTAGCAGACCATAACCATTATACATGCTCTCCATGTCGCAGGGGTCGCAAGGTAGACCAGTGAGACAATATGTATCAGGGTCATAGACCACCATCCGCTGAGCTAAAGACAGCCTGGAGAGGACAGCAATGACAAGGATAAAGAAAATTGAGGAGATGAGACCCAAGGTCAGCAGTCACCTCAGCCTGGGTACCACTCAACTTTAATTACCCATGCAGACTCCCAGATAACCCTAAAGCACAGGATGGCAAAGAGACAAAAGCAGCCTATGGGTGCTGAGTAAATGCCAGCTTAACATCTCTACTACCATCTGATTTAGTCATCTAACAAGAAGAAATGAATAAGACATGAACCAGAGACTGGAGCTAAAGTCCTTAAGTCCTTGCTTTTGGCCCTGTGCCCAGATGACTATAACTATCTGCATTATCTAGGCAGCACAGGGTTTTTGTTGTTTTTACCTAAAGATGTCTCTTTTTGGTAATGGCAAACTTTTTTTTAAAATAAGCCTTGTTTTTCTCAATATACCTTTAATGGTTTTTAAATTGTTTGTTATCTGGTCAAGTTGAGATTTTCAAGAACTTCATTTTTAATTTATAATAGAAGTTGACATGTTGATTTTTTCAAAAATTCCATTAGATAGCTGAGTATCACAGATCAAATCACCTAATCTCTTTCAACTGGAGTTTTTCTTCTGTAATAAATGGAAGCAATATTCATATGCAGATTTATAGTAGAGAGTGTTTTTACAAATTTTTATTTAAGGTATTTAAGTTCATGTATTTCATATATACAGATTTAGGAACATAGTGATACTTCCCACCTGATCTTCCGTCCGCCCATGATCCCACCTTTCTTCCTCCTCCTTCTCCCATTCCCACTCTTAATTTTTACAAAGATCTATTTTCAGTTTACTTGTGATCATAAAGTTAACCTTACACTAAGTAAAAGAGTTCAACAGAAAGTATGAAGAAAAAAAACCCCACTATTTATCAATATGAGAGACAAGGGCTGTAAACAATCATCGGATCTCAAAATGTCAATTTCACTCTAACACATTACATTTTAGGTACTCTATTAGTTAATGAACGACAGCTATATCTAGCCTAGAAACACACCCTTCCTGCTCTCAGCTCACAACAGACCTTTGTTCAAGACCCAGCCCTCCCAGTTCTTGCGGCAAGTTGTGCAGTTGTTGAGGGGTGCCTGGAGGGTAGTCATTGGTAGGATGGTAAAGAGGGTGGCAGGAGGTCCAGAGCTGGTACAGTCAGCTGAATCAGAGACTGAGCAACATGAATTACCATTCACCAATAGTACTGAACTACAGAAATGGTTGAGGACTCTGCAAGACAAGGCATCCTGAGGAGTGCAGAACTGGATGGGGCCTCCCTTCTTGCTCCTACTCCAGCACAGACACAATCCCCACTCTTAACAACTGTATTACCATTGTCCCTGGGTACTAGCACCCTCTGCACAGCAGAGTCTCCTGTGAGAAGGGACTCAGAGGGTTCAGGCTCACATCTCCCTATGACCTCAGACCTGGAGACCTTTGCTTCTTTGTTTTGGATTTCTTCACTGATCCTTGAGGCCCTCAGGCATAAAAGGCCTGATTTTGCCAATAACCTACCTCCTCATTTACAGCTAGAGCTTGATTATTTCTACACATATAAAATTTCAAATTAAATCCAATTGCCTACACCTGGAGACCTTTTCACATACACCCTCTTTCTTGTCTTTTGCTTTGTTTTGCTTTAAACCTTTGTATACTACCTCCAGTGCTTTTTATACATCGTATAAGAATAAGACACAATACCTCTGAGACAACTTCTGTTATTCCTTTCCTTAAAAATAGAATCAGAACCTGGGAATCAGTTTATTTCAAAAATTCAATTAGTTAAATTTCTACAATAACTATTATCTTTGTCCTGATGCTTTCCTGTGGGGCTTCCTCTGAACCATGGTTTGGAAATTCTCTTGGGTGCTGGCATATTACCCTGTGATATTTCTGATTTCCAGAGTTTCTGGAGCTTGTAAACTTGTGTGTGTGTGTGTGTGTGTGTGTGCATGTTTTCAAGAAAGCAAATCAAGAATCATTAACCTTCCAGTATCATATCTCAGATCCCATCATTCACACTTATAGAATGAGTAATTATCAGTCTTTGAATACAAGGAAGTTCAATATATGTAAGTTTTTATAAACATTCTAAAGACTAGCCTAACTCTTTTTTTTGTGATATTACCTTCTCTTTCAGCTGAATTTTATTCTGTTTCTGAATACAGTTAGAATTCTGGCTACCAAAATATGGGAGACCAATGCACTTGGGCATGACATGAGAAAGCAATACAGGTAATTCCAAAACAAGTACCCATCAGAGGACATATTTTGGTTACTATTTAAAGAACAAATCTTAATATCTACAGGAGATACAGAAATGTCTGTAGAGGATGAAATTTATGAAAATGTATTTTTGTTTGGCTCAGTTTTGTGGTTTATTGGAAAAATAAATTTTGGAAAAATATAGATACCTCCAAACCTTCCCAATGTGCTGAAATTCAAAATATATGTTTAAGATGTGTTCTTGGCATATTTGTAATTTTCAATAAATCAAATGAACTCTCAGAAAATAATTAGTTGATAATCTTGGCAAGCAGTTTTACCTGCATTGTAAAAATATATCATAACTGAAGAATCAAGAAAGTGGATTTGCTGTATTATTTCTAATATTTCCATTAAGTTGGTACCTACCCAATATAATTTTTAATAGAATTTTCAAAGGTACAGATTGAAGGAGATTCATTATTTAGTCTTTCATGAAGAAAAGGAAAAGTTGATTGTAATCAATATCAAACTCTTTAAGGTTGTTTACGTTTCTCCTAATGATTTTAGCAATTCTGAATAGGGGGCCTCTATCCAATCTCATACAAATATCCAGTATTCAGGTGGATGTGGATTAGTTAACTTGAGAGGGAAGTAGAAATGGAAGGATAGAGAGACAGAGATAGAGACAGAGAGGGATCTGCCATCTGCTGGTTTACTTCCCAGTTGCCTGTAATAGCTGCAGCAGGCTGAAACTAGGAGCTTGGAGTTCCAGCCAGGTCTCCCACGTAGATGGCAGGGACCCAAGAACCCAAGCCATTGCTTGCTGCCTCCTAGGGTTCTGATTAGCAGATGCTGGGATTAGGAACGTATCCAAGACTTGAACCCAGGCAATACAATATTTGCTATGTCTAATGCCCACCTCAGCTTAGTTTTTATAAACTCTATACAAGAAAAAACTTATTTCAGCCTCAGATAGTTGTGAAATGCTATCACAGAGACAGAAAGTAGGAAATCATAGCCAACATTTTGACCTTGTTTCACAAATATTCTCTAAGTACTTTCATGATTTAGTTCTGTCCACCATTTAGGCAGTGTAGAGTTGAGTAGCAGAGAGTCTGGATATAGCCAGGAGTCGATATGATGCATAATATGAACAAATTAGCAGCTGTTAGCTCCAGTTTTTTTTTTTTTTTAAGATTTATTTATTTATTTTAAAGTCAGAGTTACACAGAAAGAGGAGAGGCAGAGAGAGAGGTCTTCCATCCGCTGGTTCACTTCCCAGATGGCTGCAATGGCTAAAGCTGCACCAATCCGAAGCCAGGAGCCAGGAGCTTCTTTTGGGTCTCCCATGTGGGTGCAGAACCCAAGGACTTGGGCCATCTTCTGCTGCTTTCCCAGGCCACAGCAGACAGCTGGATCAGAAGTGGAACAACCGAGGCTTGAACCAGCACCTGTATGGGATGCTGGCACTGCAGGCAGTAACTTTACCCACTACTTTACAGTGCCAGTCCCTCCAGTTCTTTTCACTGTGCTTTAAGTACCAGTGTTATCATATGAATTGTGCCTAACTGTAGTAAAGAGCCTCTGCTGCACTAATAGCAGAAACCTTTCTATCCTATGCTCTAATGATGTGGTTTCTCTCTTGTTGTTACCGGAGAATGGCGGGGTTCTTGTCTTCACGCAAGAAAGAATTCAGGCATGAGACAGAGTAGTGGAAAGTAAAAGGTAGCAAAGTTTATTAGGGTAGGGACATCTGTAAGAACGGATGGGCACCTCTCCAGCTCTCCAGACAGGACCTGAGAGAGAGTGCAGTTGCTTGGACGGGGGGAAGGAGCAAGGTTACATGGTTGAGTGGAGAGATTACACCTGGCCAGGCAGGCGGGTGACTCAGCATAGAGGCTGAGGGCTGAGTGCGCAGTGGGGTGTGTGTTAAGGAGATGGGTCTTGCTTCCCCACCTCTGCTCCTCTTGGAACAAAGGGCTTTTTGGATGTAAATAGAAAAACTTCTATCTGAGTTTTCCCCTGAAGGTATTAGATAGGAGGAAGGCTAGCTGGCGCCATCCTGAGTTTAGAGGAAGGGTGAGCAAGACCCCCTGGAGAATGGGGATCTGGAGCAGGGTATTTGAAATGCAGATACTGGGCTGCATTTGGGAGACTGTGAAAGATTTGTCAGGCAGAAGGGACTGGGACCCCCCACTTGGCAGGTTATTGGGTAGAAGAGGGCAGGGCAGGATGTGAATACTGCCCCTGAATCATTATCAGGATGACTTTGAGATGCAGATGCATATGCTGGACATAGATGTCTTCTCTTTAAGCCTGTCACACACACATAAACTCATATCTAACTTCCTACATAACAATGTCACATCCTTTTGGAGATGACATAGGCCACATGATGATAGAACAGTAGAAAATGTAAATATCCTGCTATTCTTACTACAATGAAAAAGTGTAGTGGTATCTGAAAGTGATTTTTTTCCTCCAGTTTTTTTTAAATAAAGATTTATTATTTATTTATTTATTTATTTGAAAGTCAGAGCTATAGAGAGGAGAGGCACACAGAGAGTCAGAGTGAGAGAGAGAGAGAGAGAGAGAGAGAGAGAGGGAGAGGTCCTCCATCTGATGGTTCATTCCCCAATTGGCTGCAACAGCCAGAACTGTGCCGATCGATCGGAAGGCAGGAGGCAGGAACCTCCTTTAGGTCTCCCATGCAGCTGCAGGGGCCCAAGAACCTGGGCCATCCTCCACTGCTTTCCCAGGCCACAGCAGAGAGCCAGATCGGAAGTGGAGCAGCTGGGACTTGATCTGGCTCCCATATAAGATGCTGGCGCTTCAGGCCAGGAGTTAACCTACTGTGCCACAGCGCCGGCCGCTCCTCCAGTTTTGAACATAAGCAATTTTTTCTATAGTTTTGAATTAATTGCAACTTGCATTTTCAGAAAAAAATTGCCCATGATATTTGAGAAACTGTGATGGGAATAAATGATGACTTATCTAAAAATATAAATAGAATAGGCAGTATTTAGAGTCAATTCATGGGAGTTTTTTTTTTTCAGAATAATTCAAAATAATATAAGGAATTGAAATAATCTAGTATTAACAATTTAGCATATTTTATGTAATCTGGTGCCCAGAAGTTTTTTAGAAGTTTGAAGTAATTAATTGGAATAGATCTAGACTTAGAGGAGTCAGAGAAAGTATTCTCCAACCACATACATTTTTATTCATAACTTCAGAATACTCAGTATTCCAAATCATATCATATATTAAGTGACATACAAAAATCTAGCGTAGACTCTGTCTTTTACTGGGAGAAAAATGTGAAACCTACTTGGTGGTGATTTGAGAATTCAATTTAGTGTTTAGTTTCTGAGGCCTTACATTATAAATTTCAAAGAGTTTCTCACTTTTAGGTAGATCTATGAAAATTAAATCTGTGTCTCTTAGCCAGCGCAGTGGCTCACTAGGCTAATCCTCCGCCTTGCGGCGCCGGCACACCGGGTTCTAGTCCCAGTCGGGGCGCCGGATTCTGTCCCGGTTGCCCCTCTTCCAGGCCAGCTCTCTGCTGTGGCCCGGGAGTGCAGTGGAGGATGGCCCAAGTACTTGGGCCCTGCACCCCATGGGAGACCAGGAGAAGCACCTGGCTCCTGCCTTCAGATCAGCGTGGTGCGCTGGCCGCAGTGCGCTGGCCGCAGCGTGCCGGCCGCGGCAGCCATTGGAGGGTGAACCAATGGCAAAGGAAGACCTTTCTCTCTGTCTCTCTCTCTCACTGTCCACTCTGCCTGTCAAAAAAAATCTGTGTCTCTCAGTGATAATCCTGCTCTGAGGTTTAATGGAGTATTTAAATTTATATCTACTCATTTCTGTCCCTTCAAACTTATCAAAATGTATTTCAAAAAGCTCATGGAAAATGTGATATGGAAAATTATGCATGTGTTTCAAACTTTTTTGTGGCAAAATAAACTTATCTTCTAATTTCACTTTTCATGAACTGTTTTGAAATACCTTTATATTTCATTCATTGTTAGGCCATTTGTATTTCTTCCTTTGAAAAATGTCTGTTCATATCCTTTGCCCAATTCTTAACCAGATTATTTATTTTACTGTTGAGCCTCTTGAGCTCCTTATGTATTCTAGATGTTAGTTCTTCATCAGATGCGTAATTTGCAAATATTTTCTCCCATTCTGTTATCTGTCTCTTCACTTTGTTTTGTGCAGAAACTTCTTAGCTTAGTGTAATCCCATTCATATATTTTTGCTTTTACTGTCTGTGCTTCTAGGGTCCTACCCAAGAAATCTTTGCTAGGACCAAAATCTTACAGAATTTCCCCTATGTTTTTCTCTAGCAGTTTGATGATTTCACCTGGTGAAAGCAACCAACTCAAGATGTGACAGTAACATGGTGGTTAATGTTCAGTATTTTCATTTGCTTAGTGTCCTCCATAACCTCAATTGAGAAAGGAGAGAGAGATATATAGAGAGACAGAGGCAGAAGCAGAGACAGAGGGAGAGAGAGAAGGAGAGGGAGAGGGAGAGGGAGAGGGATTTAATAAAATTAATAAAGTACCAGTAGAGATGCATGCTGAAATTCTATGTGCATAGAAAACAGGGAAAGATTAATTCAAGAACAGAAAGAAAAAGGCTTAAGAGAAATAGGTTTTTTTTAAGTTAAATGAAAATTAGAGATTTTCCAGATTCATTCACATGGGGAGAGTTCACATAGGGAAAGGTGCCACAACAATTGGGCATCTGTTTTCTAAGTAGGACAATGAGTTCCCAAACCATCTGCTCCTTTGTATTTTTCTCATGGCTTTGCCCTTGGATACAGAGCCATTTCTGTGTTTCCAACAATTCAAAGGAGCCCTATCAGTTGGTACACAGCAGAACCATTGCATTAGACATCTATGCCTATTTAGAGATCCAGGTGATAATGATGTACAAACAACCATGGGTGTTCAGATGGATTAAAATGCTTTGAAGTTATACAAAGTGTTCTACCAATGTGACGCGATGATGGAAAAAGTGTGCTCACTACTCAGGGTTAGGCAACCCCTTTACCACTTCTCTAGGTGTTTCTGAGTCCTGTCAAGTTGAAACCTAAAGTTAACCTTCACATCATCATATGGAAAAACTCAGGACTCCTCCAAATACACAAGAAAATGTATATGAAGATCCAGTTAAGGGAAATGATGCCAAATAACTTAGTTTGCAAAAAATTACCTAGACAAAATGGAACTGTAGATACTTTGAGATAGAATATTTAACAAAGAATATCTGGAGAAGAGAGGGAATTGACCACATGTAGCTCATAAGAAAATGTGAAGTGTCTCTAAGAATATGCATAATCAATGATAAATGAAGTTTCAAGTGTAAGAAGAAACAAGGGAGCAGCTCATTTTAAAATGCTGCCCGTGAAAGTAAATGCTGTTAACACGGGTGCAAATAATGATTCTGTAAGTCTCAAACACAGAAGACTTGAGACAAGAAATAAAAAAAATGTAACTTAATAAAAATGGTATCCTTATAAATTGGTATCCACTAAGCAAAAGGAATGGAAGTGAGATGACAGAAATTTTGGGGACACTAATTATGAGATGTGAGAAGAAACTTCAGGAGGTAATATAAAAGTGATGGGAAGAGGAAGGAAGGTGAAAAACTAGCAGAAGTGGTGGGATCTGAAGAGGTGGAGAAGAGTCACCTCTATTAGTTCCGCTGTGTTCCAATTTCTCCACACACTGTTGCTACTGAAAGGGACTCTAGCTGATGAATAAAAGGCTTGCCATTCTCCCCAGGAAACTCGCCAAATCGACACTGGTCCTTGTCCTGGTCTTTGGAGTGCACTACATCGTGTTCATTTGCCTGCCCCACTCCTTCACTGGGCTTGCCTGGGAGATCCGCATGCACTGTGAGCTCTTCTTCAACTCCTTTCAGGTAAGGAGTGCTGCGTTGTTGCTTGGTTCTTGTGATTTGCTTCCTCTGCACCCTCCCTGGCAACTCTTTACTCTGCTGTGCTCTCTGGCTTTAATGCACCTGTCTCCCTGGAGCTATGAAAGGGTGATGTTCTAGGGCACCTGTACTTTTCTACTTTATAGCGGTCAGGTTAATCCCCGGAGCACAGCAGGAGCAGATCTGAAGCTGTTTCTCACACACACAAGCCTTGGCAGAGAGATAACAAGGCTCACTGTTGTAAAATATGTAGCACCTGCCCATTAGGGACCTCTGCTTGTATGTATGGAAAATAAATGAGAGCAAAAGAAGGTGAAGGCAGGGCTGAGGAAAATGAAAAGGGAATGGTAGTCAAAAAGAGGAAGAGATCGCTGTCAATGATGTCTCTCATCTGGAGGTGCAATTGTCATTTCTCTTGTAGATTACTTACTCTTTGCCCTGTGCGCTCATTTGCTGTCTCCTCCTGCTGCCTCAAATCTTGTCTTCCCACAATAGTCTAAAGAATCTTAAAAATAGAAATCTGATCCTGCCATTCACTTGCTGAAAATATCCAAAAGCCCCTGGTTGCACTCAGAATAAAATTAAAGTGCCAGTTTCTGGCATACACAGCTCTGCATAGCATGAAACCTGCCTGACTTCTAACCATGCTTCAAGTTGCCTCCTAAGTTTGCACCACGCTATTGCTTCCATATTTGCTGTTTCTCAAGCCTTTGCTGTCTTATCTCAGAGGCTCACCCTTGTCGTCTCCATTGCCCGGAATGCTTCCCCCCAATAGTTACATGTCTGACTTCTTAACCTCGTCATTCTAACACTCTAAGCAGCTTAGGGGTCTTTGCTGAGGTCTTCCTCTAATATATCCACTCCTTTGTTCTCTTTAACATCACTTATTTTATCTTCATAGTCCTATTGTCTTATATTTTTTCTCATATGGTTGTTTGTATCTCATCTATGTCTCTTATTCCAGAACAGGGATTGTCACACCCAGCAGCTCCCAGCATACCCTATAAATTCCATAGATATTTTTGAGTGAAAGTTGTTTCTTTGGGGCTGGCACTGTGGCATACCAGGAAAAGCATCTGCCTGCTGTGCCGGTATCCAATATGGATACTGATTTGAGTCCCTGCTGCTCCACTTCCAGTCCAGTCCCCTATCAATGCACCTGGGAAAGCAGCAGAAGATGGGCCAAATGCTTGGGTCCTTGCATCTACGTGGGAAACTCAATGAAACTCCTGGCTTCGGCCTGCCCAGCTACAGTTGTTTTGGCCATTTGGAGATTGAACCAGTGGATGGAAGATCTCTTTCTCCTTCTCATTCTGTATCTGTGCCTTAAAATGTTGATTCTTTGTGTCTTTACCATATACTATTCTATGTCCATAGTTTCCAAAATTCAAAACTTATCTATAAGTATTTTTTAACAAGTCAGGAAGTAGAGGATGAAACATATGTGATCATTGAGTGCTAATATAATTGAAACTAATATAATAGAAATAGCTTTTCAATGATATGTTTTGATACTCTAGTGCAGCAAACTTCATGAATTGCAAGTGGGCTAACATTCTTTTTGGTTTTGCAGGGTTTCTTTGTGTCTATCATCTACTGCTACTGCAATGGAGAGGTAGGTCTGCCTGAAGGAACCCTGGACTCCCCACAAGTCTAGCTCTAAGTAAGCTGTGGTTTAGTCTGTTTTGTGCCACCGTAACAGAATACCTGAAATTGGGTAGTTTATCAAGAGCAGACATTTATTTATTTATTACAGTTTTGGAGGCTTCAGAGTCCAAAGTTGAGAGTTCCACATCTTGTGAGGTTACATCATCCCATGGTAGAAGACAAGAGGGTAAAGGAGAATTTGTGCGAGAGAAACGAAAACCTCAGGGGATTAAATTCACAACCTCAAGCTTCTTTTAATTGGCATTAATCCATTCATGAGAGTGGATTCCTCATGACTTAAACATCTCCCATTAGGACCCACCTCTCAATAGGTTACATTGCATTTTGGGATTAATTTTCCAACATGTGGACATTGAGGGCATGTTCAAACCATAGCAGCTGTAAATGACCATCACAATGTGACCTGAATCTCTAGAAGGTTTCCAGAAGTTACAAGACAGAATGGAAGGGGAGAAGGTAGATATTTTAATTATAAATTATCTTGAGAAAGCAAGAATTAGTATAGTTTCTCATCTAGTACTTTTAAATATTGGTTGGAAAACCTGATGTTAAAAAAAACCAATTGGTGGCTGGCGCTGTGGCTCAATAGGCTAATCCTCCACCTAGTGGCGCCAGCACACCAGGTTCTAGTCCCGGTCGGGGTGCCGGATTCTTTCCCGGTTTTCCGGGTTGCCCCTCTTCCAGGCCAGCTCTCTGCTGTGGCCCGGGAAGGCAGTGGAGGATGGCCCAAGTGCTTGGGCCCTGCACCCCATGGGAGACCAGGAGAAGCACCTGGCTCCTGCCTTCGGATCAGCGCGGTGCGCTGGTGCAATGCACCGGCCGTGGCGGCCATTGGAGGGTAAACCAACGGCAAAGGAAGACCTTTCTCTCTGTCTCTCTCTCTCACTGTCCACTCTGCCTGTCAAAAAAAAAAAAAAAAAAAACACAAAACAACAACAACAACAAAAAAAAACAAAAAAACCACAATTGGTTGAAATATACATCAAAAATTGTATGGACAGTGAACTTTATATTTCAGTACCTACTGAAACTTTTATTCTGCTTCAATTTCTATAAGGAATCCAATGTAAGTTGTCCTGCACCAAATCCATTGAAATATTTTCATATTTTTTGAATGATGAGATGATGATGAGGTAGCATCAGTTCATTTAGGAGTTGGCTAGAGAGAAGTAACCTCATTGTATTATTCATATGATGTTGCAGCCTTTAGCATGTTTTATTGTTTGATGACTTGGCCCCTATCTTTCAAAGTTTAAACTTGCTGTAAATCCCTGAAGTGCAAGGACACTTGTTTCTGTCATAACCAGCTGATGCTTCTAACCACATTTAGGGTTTGGCTGTGTTGGCATTGTCCAGGCCCTGTAGAAACAGCTTAAATTAAGTAGTAACTCATTAATTCCCTAATTTACTTCTGTATTTCTTTTGTCTTATGTTGTAGGAGGGGTTAGCAGGTCAGGTGCTTAATTTTTTCCAAGATGAACAAATAGACGTTAGATGCTTCAGGTGATACCAGCTTTCCTGGTTTCCCCATCTCCCATTGAACTTTCCAGTAAGGCCCTTCCAGAAAGTGGCAACAGCAGTAGAATTAAATCTTCAGTAGCAAGAATGGAAGCAAGAGCCCCACCTTAAGACTGCCTACTTTCTATCTACAAAAGAATTCCAACTAATATGCTATGCCTGTTTTTTCATCTAGATCCTTCTTTCCTCATTTTTCCTTTTTCTTTATGGCTACACAAACTGAGAGCATGCTTCATGTTGAGTACTTACCAGGCCCTCTTCATCCTCAGCTGTTGTCAAAGATGCTACATATTAAAATAGTGATAACAAAGTGTTTTCAGTAATACTTGACAGTGGGAGAAAGAGCTGAGGTTCATTTTCATTAGGTCATTCATGATTTGGGCATTTTAAAGGGAGAGTGATGGAGAGGGATCTTGAGGGCTTCGTAGAGTCAGAGCAGTGAAATAATACACAAACTTGTTCAGTGTAAACGTGATTAGGCAGCTGTGTCTGCTAGTTGACAGTTATCTGAGTTAAGGTCCTACCCTTCCACTGAGATTGGGAGACAGAGGTCTTGTCTTTCTCAATGATTATGTTTAGAAAGAGTGGTTCTCAGACCCTTGAGAGAGAAGCTTCTGAGCTGCAATGACTACACCGCATGTATACAGCTGTGCCCCCTTTTAATAAATGCTCTAAGAAAGGGATGTCAGGGGCCCCTCGCTAGCTGTGCGTTGGTCAGTTCAAATGGTGAAATGTCTTGGCAGCACTGAACTTTCTTAGGCACCTTGTGGGGAGCAGAGATCATCTCAGGGGTGTGGCCCTACACTGCTGGATGCCATGCTGGAATTTGGCTGGTCTTGCAGTGCAGGGGTGTGGTGGGGTTGTCAGGTGCAGAGTTCTGAGTTCTCAATGGCACTATGTATTGTTGCTCCTCCAATATGGAATCCTGTTTTTATTCCCTCTTCTCCCATAAATCATATATATGTATATTTGAGTAATTGCTACTTCTGCTTAAATACTTGAACCTTGGAAAAGTCTTTTTACCTCTCAGTTTTCTCATCTCCAAAAATAACAACTATGTTGAAGGTTGGTTGAGGGTGAGAGGGAAAATGTAGTTGAAAAGTCCCCAGCACTTAGAAAAGCATCGTCAATGACCATTACTGTCATTGAACACAAGACAGACGCCCTTGTCACAAGGTTGCAGAGTCTCCATTATGTCTGAGGCACAACATGTTTCCTGTGGTTTAGGTTCAAGCTGAGGTGAAGAAGCTGTGGAGTCGGTGGAATGTGTCCCTCGACTGGAAAAGGATGCCGCCCTGTGGCAGTCACAGATACGGCTCAGTCCTCACCACTGTGACTCACAGCACAAGCAGCCAGTCCCAGATGGCAGCCAGCACTCACATGGTGCTCATCGCAGGCAAAACGGCCAAGCCTGCCCCCAGACAGCCTGACAGCCACGTGACTTTGCCTGGCTATGTCTGGAGTAACTCTGAGCAAGACTGCCTGCCACACACAGTCCAAGAAGAGACCAAGGAAGGTAATGGGAACCAGGGACTGAATATCCCAGTGGATGCATCTTCCAGGGCACTGGAAGTTAATGCAGACACGGACGGATGCAAAAGAGTGACTGAGGATGTTCTGTGAGTCATCGTTTGTGGCTCTGATGAGCTGGTGGATCCGGGTGTGTGAAGGTTGACTGGCACTCTTCTGCTTGAGCCTGATGACTTGCAAATCCAGGGTGAAGATGTTAGTTGACATAAGTTTTCAGGTTCCACTAATTTACTCTTAATAGATACTAACAAAATGAAAGGAGAAGTGTTAGTGGAGTGGTTTCTTGTGTTTTTTGGCAGCAATTTATTTTCCAAATTGATGTGTAATACTTGCTTTGTGATCAGTTTTTCTGCTACTTTTGGATAGAAAACATATCTATTGGGTAGAAAAAGTTTCTGTTGCTTGGCTGTAGCTTTCTCTCATGATTACCACCCTGAATATGTTAGAATTTGGTATGTGTAATTTTCCTTTTAAGAAATCAACACTCTGTTTTTCTCTTTCCCACTTTAATGTATTATTGTTGCATTCATTTTACTTGTGCATCAAGGCATTTAGGAACTGAAAAATGTATGTTGAAAGATTAAAGATCTAAGAACAAATACACACTGGAAAGTTAGTTGGCTGGACATTGTTAAAATAATAAATCTGTGACAATTAATGTCGATTCTTTCTAGGAACAAGGAAAATTGTCAAGAAGAACATTTCACTTATCCATCCTTTATGAATGCTCCCTTATGACAAACCAATCCCTAGGTATCCAGAACTACCTCTTGGTAAATGGTGAATGTCAAAATGTTTTCTTTCAGTGAGCTTGTGTCCACCAACTGAATTTGTTTGTAATTGTTAAAATTGATAGTAAATCACACAGCATCTCTCTTTTTCTTCCCTCTTCTGTTTTTTTGTTCTGTTATAAATGGCAGGGGAATAAATTAAAAGTGTTTAAAAGTTCAATTTGGGGGCCTGGCGCTATGGTATAGTTGTTTAAGCCTCCACCTGTGATACTAATATCTGATATGGGCACCAGTTTGAGTCCCAGTTGCTCCACTTCCAATCCAGCTCCCTGATGATGGCCTGGGAAAGCAGTGGAAGATGGCCCAACATGGGAGACCCTGTACCAACATGGGAGACCCAGAAGGAGCTCCTGGCTCCTCTGTATTTGAATTTGTTTCCAACTGCCGCGGCCATCTGGGGAGTGAACCAGCAGATGGAAGACACCTCTCTATCTTTCTCCCTCTCTCTATCTTTAACTCTACCTCTCAAATAAATAAATGAATTTAAAAAATTAAAAAAATACAATTTGGGTAAGTTTTCTAAAATTTCCTTTTCAATGTACCACATTATTTTGAGAACAATCAAGTTTCCCTCTATGTTCCTAAATTTGTACTTATGAGATGCATGAAGTTTGTATAATTTAAATGAAAGGTTTCTAGGTTTAAAATAAAAGGGAGGTCGGCGCTGCGGCTCACTTGGCTAATCCTCCGCCTAGCGGCGCCGGCACACTGGGTTCTAGTCCCAGTCGGGGCGCCGGATTCTGTCCCAGTTGCCCCTCTTCCAGGCCAGCTCTCTGCTGTGGCCCGGGAGTGCAGTGGAGGATGGCCCAAATGCTTGGGCCCTGCACCCCATAGAAGACCAGGAGAAGCACCTGGCTCCTGGCTTCAGAGAAGCGCGATGCGCCGGCTGCAACGTGCTGGCCACGGTGGCCATTGGAGGGTGAACCAACGGCAAAAAGGAAAACCTTTCTCTCTGTCTCTCTCTCTCTCACTGTCCACTCTGCCTGTCAAAGATTTAAAAAAAAATTAATATTCTCTAGAACAGTGGTACATAATGTTTCATCAAAAATCCTTGCAATAGCTGAGTGGAGCTAATCAGCATTGTATTCATTGTGGAAACTGATAAAGAGCCAGGTAATGATAGAGGTAGAAGCTCCAAGACTTCATTACTCGTCACTACTGCTGTACCTGTTTAGTCAAAAAAAATCATGAAATCAATCAATATCTTAAGCAGGGTGGTTATGCCAGGACCTAATTTACAGGAGTTAGTGCATAATCATGTTTTAAAAAGTGGAACAGGTCACACTTATAGCAGTTATTGTTCCATTACAATTCTGAAATGCAGATAGGCATACATCACTAACTACTCAAACTGATTCCAGTTCTGCTTCCTAAGAGTGATTTTCCATGGCTCTTTGACCCTTTGCTCCTGGCTCTGAACACTGAGTGATTCTTTATGTGGCCACCAAAGATCTGATTGTTGTCTCTAGTTTTTCCTTTTCAAAAATGTCATGCATAAATAGAAGTATTTACTACCTCTTTGAGATCACCTTTAACTTTCACATGGAAGTAAAAACATATTTTTCTTTCTATACCTAACTTCTTTCTTTTAAAAGATGTTCTAATCATGTTGTTTCAAGTGACATTATTTCACTCTTTTATAGCTGAATATTCCATTGCGTGACACCACACACACACATACACACACACACACCACACATCCTTCACACATATCACATATATCAATTCATCAATCGATAGACACAAACTTTAATTCCATTTCTTAGATTCTTTAAATAATGCTGCAATAAACACACGAGTACAGATGTTTCTTTGGCATACTCAGTTCAATTCTTCTGGATATACATGGAGACCTCAAAAACTTAACTGAAAAATGTAATGCAAAGATACGTTTATTTTGCATAAACTTTTTGAAAACCATGCACAGTTTTTCATTATATGCATCTGCTAAAAACTGTTCAAAGAAGCAATAGAGAGATACAGAATCCAGTGATAACTCTATGTCTAGTTTTTGACGGTTCATACTGTTTTTCATAATGGCTGTGCTAATTTACATTCCTAACAACAGTGTATGAGAGTTCCCCTTTATCTGTATCCTCACCAGCATTTGTTATTTGTAATTTTGATAACAGCCGTTCTAACTGGGGTGAGATGATATTGCGAATTCAATTTGAATTTCCCTGATAGTGATGTTGAGCAGCTTTGCATGTACTTACTGGTCCTTTGTACATCCTCTTTTGGGGAACATCTATTTAAATTATTTACTCATTTCATGATCTGTTTTTGCTGCTGTATTGCTTCAATTACCTATGTATTCTGAAAATTAATTCCTTATCAGATGAGCATTTGAAAACATTTTCCTTTATTCTGTAAAAAGTTGACTTCTCACTGTCAATGGTTTCCTTTGCAATGTCACAGCTTTTCAATTTGATGTAATACTCTCCTTTTTGTTTTTGTTGCTTGTCTTTTTGGAGTAATATTAAAAAAATCCATACCCAGATTAATTGTGTGAAGTATTTACTTTATACTTTCTTCTAGCAGTTTCATAGTTTTGAGTCTTGTGCTAAGTGCTTATTCCTTTTTGAGTTTATTTTGAATATGGTGAGAGAGGTTTGTTTTCCCAGCTCTACTGAAAATGTTTTCATTCTCCAGTGCACACATTTGCTGTCTTTTAAAAAATCAGTGGGCTCTAAATATGTTGATTAATTGCTGGGTTCTTTATTTTGTTTCAGTGAACTATGTGTCTGTTTTTATGTCAGTTCCACACTATTTTGGTCACTATCAATTTGAAGAATGTCTGGAAGTCAGGTGTAGTAATGCTTCCAGCTTTGTTCTTGCTCAAGATTGCTTAGGCTATTCAAGATCTTTTTCCGGTTCCATATACATTTTGTGATTGCTTTTCTAGTTCTGTGAAAAAAATGTCATTAGTATTTTGATAAGAACTGCTTTGGATCTGTATATGTGCAGGAGTGGGGGAGGTAGTAGAAATATGTTAACAATATTAATTAATTCATGAACATGTGGTGTTTTTCCATTTGTTGGTATGCTCTTCAATTTCTTTTATCAGTCTTTGGAAATTTTCACTGTAGCTATCATTCATTTTCTTGGTTAAATTTACTCCTAAATATTTTATAGTACTATATTGAATATGAGTGGAGAAAATGGACATTCTTATCTTGTTCTTTATCTAACAGTAAGTGACTTCAGCTTTTTCCCATTCAATGTGAGGTTGGGTATAATTTTGTAATATATAATCTTTATAATGTTGAGACATATTCCTTCTATGTATAATTTAAGGTTATTATGAATGGATATTCAATTTTATCAACGGTTTTCTGTATCTGTTGAAATGATCACACATTTGGTTTTTTTCTGTTGATGTGGCATACTACGTTATCAATTTGTGTATTTTAAATCATCCCTGCATCCATTGGATAAATCTCACCTTATCATGATTTATAACCTTTTTACTGTTCCTTAATTTATTTTGCTACTATTTTATTGAGAACTTTTGAATTTGTGTTCATCCAGGTATAGGTCTCTAGCCTTCTTTTTGTTGTTGCATTTTTGTCTTGTTTTAGTATTAAAATAATGCTGGCCTTGTAGAATAAGTTTGAAAGTGTTCCCTTTCACTATTTCAAAATAGTTTGAGAATAATGGTGATAGCTTTTGTTGTTGTTGAACAAGAAATTTTTATTCTACATTTAAATATTCACAGAACATATTCAGTAACCTATGATTAACCTATGATACTTGCCACATGATACTCTTGCCTTGATGATCAAGCAAACTTAGATTCTTCACCTAAACTAGTGCATTTTGTCTTTAAAGTTTGATAAAATTTCAGTGAAGTTATCTCGTCCTGGAGTTTCCCTTGTTAAGAAACTTATCACTGATCCAATCTCCTTACTCATTATTGACCTGTTCAGGTTTTCCATGTCTTCATGGTTCAATTTTGATACATGATATGCATTCAGCAATGCATAACATTTGGTTTTCCAATTCAGGATAGGATGATTATTCATAATAGTCTTTAATGATTCTTAGTATTTATGGGGTATCAGTTGTCTAACTCAAAGTTCATGACTATTGTATATGTTCTCAACAATGACGATTTCATGTCATTGATCAAGCTTTTATCAAAAGTCTCTTATTTCATTTATTTCTGCTCCAGTCTTTCTTATTTCTCTTCTTCTACTAATTTTTAGAGTATTTTTATTTATGGTTCCTTAAGTTGCTTCACTAGGCTTTTTTACTTGCAATATTCCCCCTCCCCTTTCTTTTTGAGACAACTGGAAGGCATCATGTTGAATGAAATAAATTGGACACAGAAAGGCAAATTCTGCATGTTCTCTCTTACATGTAGAGCTAAACCTTTTAAAAGGAAAAATTTTTTAAAAAAGAAAACCTGTGTGTATCGGTACTGTGCAAATACAGTTTTGTTAAACTAATGGTTAAGAAAGCTAAACTACTATAGTCTTAATGATCTGTGATTACTTTGATATTTATTGTATGTGGGTGAAATGGTCCTCTTTTCATTTGACTACTATTTATAGCCCTTGCTTACATTGCCATTACAAGCCCTGCACATCCCTGGCATAGGAAAAGACCCCAGAAGCAAAGGCAATCAAAGCCAAAATTGACAAATGAGATTACAACAAACTGGAAAGCTTTGCACTACAAAAGAAACACATAGCAAAGTGAAGACTGAATGAGGGAACATTTTTGCAAACTATGCAACTGATAAAGGATTAAAATCCAGAATATATGAAGAGTTCAAGAAACTCAACAACAATAAAACAAGCAATCCACTTAAGAAATGGGCAAAGGACTTGAACAGACATTTTTCAAAAGAGGAAATCCAAATGGCCAAAATGCACATGAAAAAAATGCTCAGGATCACTAGCCATCATGGAAATGCAAAGCAAAATCACACTGAGCTTTCACCTCACCCTACAATGAATCTCATACAGAAATCAACAAACAACAAATGCTGGTCATGATGTGGGAAAAAGAGTACCCTATTCAGTGTTGGTGGGGATGTAAACTGGTACAGCCATTGTGGTAAACAGTATGGAGATACCTTAGAAATCTGAATATAGACCAAATATATGACCCACAAATTCCATTCCTGGGAATTTACCTATGGAAATAAAATCAGCATATGAAAGAGTTATCTGTACTCCTATGTTCATTGCAGCCCAATTCACAATAGCTAAGATATGGAATCAACCCAAATTTCCATCAACTATTGGCTGGATAAATAAATTATGTTATGTATACACTATTAAATACTACTCTACTTCATGGTTAAAAAAAAAGAAAAGAAAAATTAAATCTTATCTTTTGCAACAAAATGGATGCAACTGTAAGCCATTATATTTGGTGAAATAAGTCAGTCCCCCCAAAAATCATGTGTTTTGTATAATACATGGTAACTAATCAAGTACCAAAAAGTATAATGTATTATAGTGAAATGGACATTTTGAGATTCAATGATTATATACAGCCTTTGTCTCTACTGTTCAGGAACCATGGTTTTTCCTCATACTACTTCTTGAACTCTTTAATTATTGTTCCTTCAATCTCATGAGTATAATGTAAACTGAAAATAGATCTTTGTAAAAATTAAGAGTGGAATAGGAAAGAGAGGAAGAAGAACGGTGGGGGTGCAGTTGAAGATTGACCTTGTTTTCCTTTTTATTTTCTTTTTTTTTAAAGATGTATTTATTTAATTGAAAGGTAGAGTTATAGAGAGGCAGAAAGAGAGAGAGAGAGATAAATAGAGAGAGAGGGAGAGAGAGAGAATCTTCCATCTGCTGGTTCACTACCCAGATGGCCACAATGGCTGGAGCTATTTTGATCTGAAGCCAGGAGCCAGGAGTTTCTTCTGGATTCCCTTGCAGGTGCAGGGTCCCAAAGGACTTGGGCTGTCTTGTACGGCTTTCCCAGGTCATAGCAGAGAGCTGGATTGGAAGTGGAGCAGCTGGGACTTGAACCAGCGCCCATATAGGGTGCCAGCACTGCAGGCAGCAGCCTTACCTGCTACACCACAACGCTGGGCCCAAGCTTTGTTTTCTAATCCATTTGGTAAATTCTGATTCTTTCTTTATTTTTTCTTTCCCTCCCTCCCTCCCTCCCTCCCTCCCTCCCTCCCTTCCTCCCTCCCTCCCTTCCTTCCATAGGTAGAGTTATAGACAGTGAGAGAAAGAGACAGAGAGAAAGGCCTTCCTTCTGTTGGTTCACTCCCCAAATGACTGCCACTGCGCTGCGCCGATCCGAAGCCAGGAGCCAGGTGCTTCCTCCTGGTCTCCCATGCAGGTGTAAGGGCCCAAGCAATTGGGCCATCCTCCACTGCCCTCTCGGGCCACAACAGAGAGCTGGACTGGAAGAGGAGCAACTGGGACTAGAACCTGGCGCCCATTTGGGATGCCAGCACTGCAAGGAGGAGGATTAACCAAGTGAGCCAGGGCACCGGCCTCCAATTCTGTATCTTTCAACAAGACAGTTGAGACCATTTACATTTAAGGTAGCTATTGATAAGTAACTACTTGAATCTGCCATTTTTCCATGCATATTCCTATTATTTACTTTGGATTTCTTTTGTAATTTTACTGGTGGATTTTCTGTCTTCACATTCTTTCATGATGATGGCTTTGCTTCTGTGTTTCTGTCTGTATCACACCCTTTAGCATCTTTTGTAAGTCTGGACGCCTGGTGGCATATTCAATTTCTGTTTGTTATAGAAGGCCTTTATTTCACCTTCATTCATAAAGGAGAGTTTTGCGGGTACAGTATTCTGGGATGGCAGTTTTTTTTTTTTTTCCTCTTAAGATTTGGAATATATTTTGGCGTTGTCTTCTAGCCTCTAGGGTTTCCAATGAGAAGTCATTTGTGAGTCTAATTGGGGATCCTCTGAAAGTAATCTGGCGTTTCTCTTGGGCACATTTTAGAATATTTTCTTTATGCTTTACTGTGGAAAGTTTGACTGCAATGTGTCATGGTGAAGATTGTTTCTGGTCATTTCATTTAGGAGTTCTATATGCTTCCTGTACTTGAACCTTCCTTTCTTTCTCTAAATTAGGAAAGTTTTCTGTAATTATTTCACTAAGTGGGCCTTAAAGTCCCTTCTCTCTTTCCATACCTTCAGGCACTCCTATGACCCATATGTTGGGTTGTTTGACAGTATCCCATATATATATCCAACAATGTTTTTAATTTTCTGATTTCATTTTTTTGCTTTTGGTCTGACTGTAAAATTTCTGGAGATTTGTCTTTCACTTTGATATTCTTTCTTCTACCTCACCAACTCTGTTGTTAAAGCTTTCCACTGCATTTTTACTTAATCTATTGAATTCTTCATTTGTAGTATTTCATTTTGGTTTCTCTTTAAAAATCTCAATTTGATGGAAAAAATTTTCACTCAAATCATATATGGTTTTCTTTAGTTTGTGGATTTGCTTCTGATTGCTTTTGAGTGATCCTGTGTTTAATTTTTTGAAATCCATTTCCAGCATTTCTCAATCTCTTCATCTTCATATTTTAATACTTAAATATTGTTGTGTTCCTTTGAGGGGATTCATGGTGTCTTCCTTATTCTTATTTCTTGAATTTCTTTATTTGTTTGTAGGCATTTGTAGAATTTTTTTCTGCTCTGTTGGCTTTTTATCTTTGAGCTATGCCTCTGTGGCTTAGTGCAATGTCTGCACTTCCAGTGAATACCAAGAGGTGTGTAGTGGAGGTGTGGCCAGGGAGCTCTGGTCAGTGCCCAGACCCCAGCTACACCCTGCCTCCTGTCAAGCAGTCAGTATTTTCTCAGTCTCAGCCCCCAGGGCTCTCAGGGTCAAGGAGTGCAAGTGGGGTCACTCTGCCCTACTAGCCTGTCCTGTCTGCAGGCAGACTGAGGTGCTTCATGTGCTGCTGCTGTCTGTGTGTGTTCCAGCCCACTGGATGGAGTCAGGTCCTCCCCACCAGATTCTATGTCAGTGGGGCATGCAGGTTTTTCTCTCGGATAAGATCTCTGGATCACAGGCAGCCACATTACCCACCAACTGCAGCCCTGCTGTGTTCATAATTGTGCTGGGCATGTAGAGTGCCCCTTGGTGGCACTCCCCTTCCTTGGGATGGCTCCCCTCTCTTCCTGTTGCTGGGAGGGTGCAGCTGGCATGGTGGAGACCATCCTGTTTATTGTCTATTGCTCCTAAACTGCTGCAATTGCACCTCCCCCACCGACTGGGTGGAGGGCAATCCCAGTAATTGCTGGCTGAGCACACATGAACTGGAGCCACAGCTACCTGCCTGTGTCCAAAAATGGCTCCATCCCTCCCACTGCTGGCTACAGGTCACTGTTGTAGGAGTGAGGAGGGGGAGAGATGTGCTGCTTCCCTCCCCATCTCCCTGGGTGAGAAGTTGCCCGGCTGTCCTGAGGATCCAGGCCAGATACAAAAATGTGCAGTTCACTAAGCTTTCTCTCCTGCTGTATTAACATCGACGTGGGCCCATGTAGTCTGATCTCACCTGGCTTGCCAGGGTGGGCGCCTTCTTCTCTAGGTCTAAGCTGCTGGTTCTTTTGTTGTCTTGTTGTACCTTGCTGTATGTCTGCACCTTCCATACAGATATGGACTGTTTGTACTGCTTTCTCGGGATCTCCCACTTCAATTTCTCCTGCAGCTTTACCCTGAGAGTGTACTTTCTTCACTTTTTTTTTTTTTTTTTGACAGGCAGAGTGGACAGTGAGAGGGAGAGAGACAGAGAGAAAGGTCTTCTTTTTGCCGTTGGTTCACCCTCCAATGGCCACCGTGGCCAGCACGTTGCAGCCGGCGCATCGCGCTTCTCTGAAGCCAGGAGCCAGGTGCTTCTCCTGGTCTTCTATGGGGTGCAGGGCCCAAGCATTTGGGCCATCCTCCACTGCACTCCCGGGCCACAGCAGAGAGCTGGCCTGGAAGAGGGGCAACCGGGACAGAATCCGGTACCCCAACAGGGACTAGAACCTGGGGTGCTGGTGCCGCTAGGTGGAGGATTAGCCTATTTCTTCACTTTTTTGTGTTAATTTTGCCCAGCCTAAATCAGACCTCCCTGTTGCAATTCTGCAATGTTGGAACTATTAGCTTTAATTTTTTTAGTTAAAAAATTTTAGTTCAAATTTGGTTAAAACTTTTAGCAAACTTTTTTTAGTTAAACAGTATTTAAGTATAAAATGTTTAAATATAGTTCTTATTATATACGTTTCCTTAAAAAACATGGAGATAGGTGTTGTGGTACAGCAAGTTAGACTACTGCTTGGGGTACCCTCATCCCACATTGGAGTGCTTGGTTCTAGTCTGGCCTGCTCTGCACTTCTGATCCAACTTCTTATGCACGTGCCTCTAAGACATTAGATAATCGCCCAAGTGCTTGAGTTCTTGCTATCTCAATGGATTTCCTGGC